ACACCGGGGTCGTCACAATATGCGTTTTTGCATTTGCATATTATGCAAAAACGCATAAAAAACCAAAATACTGCCAGTACGAGTGCACATGCTGTTATCAATTTGACTGCTTCAGGTTTAGCTTGAAAACACGATCACATTTGAAATCTTGATGCGTGTTGCTACCTGAGTTTTTGTATGCGGAACTGAATGGTAAATGTAGTAAGTGCATAAAAAAAAGTAAACAAAGCGTACAGGAGGTCTCGGACGCTCCCGGCGCAGTGAACGTAAAACCGACGGACGTCCTTGTTTCTTCGTTGACGGATTGTCTGCAAGCATATTAGCTCCTCCGAAATCAAGCTGCCAAAAATACGATGCAGTGCAAAACTGCAGAGGGAAACAGAATGGCCTACACTAATAAATGGGATAAATTTCTGCATACCTGTATCTCCAACCCATTTATTTAAGTTCTCGCAATTCATGGAAGAGATCCACGGAGGAAGCAAGCACTGTGCAAGAATGTGCCAGTAAAGAAATGTAATGAACAAATGAATAAAAGGGATTCACCTTTCAAGCCCAAGTAAACATCTGCCCACATTGTTTAAGATCGGTCTGCCCACATTGTTTAAGATCGGTTTGGTGGCGGTGAAAAGCGAGCTAATTAAAAACAGTAATCCTATAGAGCAATCCTGGCAAAAGCTGAAAAATAAACAAAACGCCACATGTTGGCCGTTTCAGTTTTCCTATCTATAAAAAATTTCCAAAACATGAAATTTCTGTCTACAGCCGAGGGAGGCTGTATTCAAAGTTTTCCTCTCCATAACAGAAAGGAAAAGAAGCTGATCGAAAGAAAAACAACAGCGCCAGAGTCACAGGTTAATGTACCAATGTCGCAACAGCTGCACAAAAAGTGGATATAACCTTCAAGCCTGCTGCCTCAAACGAATATAAGGCTCATTAGTGGAGCGGAATAAACTACTTGAATAAATGTAATGAGACAGCTGGACGCAAGATGCGCAGGGCAAAGAAGGAGCTAAACGCGTCAGTGACGAGAAAAAATGCAGCAATGAAGCAGGAAGCAAATAAACGTACCAAAGGAAAAAAAAAAATAATTGGCCAACGCGTGGGCTGCCCGTGCGAAGATGCGTTTTTTGCATAGTTCCTCGCAGTTTTTTTTTTTCGCTACAGTCACCAGTTTTTTCGGCAAATGCTTCTAGCTAAACAAATTAAGACTGGCCGCCAGAACTGTCGGGAAACATCCACTTAAAATTTCAGCTTTCTAGCTTTCCTGGCTCCTTTGGAAAAAAAACTTTCACAGGCCGTACGTGGGTTGCACGCATACCCGATATCTGGGTTTGAGCTCGTGGAAACTTATGTGGACGGGAACATCCCCTTAAAACTACAGTCTTCTAGTTTTCAGGTTCTCGAGAAAAACTTTGATGAGCCCATGCGTGAGTACCACGCTTCCCGAAGTCTGGGTTTGAGCTCATTAATACCTACTTGGACAAGGGAAATCCCCCTAAGACTTCAGCAATCTAGCTTCTCAGATACCCGAGTTATGGATTTACCCGAAAAAAATTTTGGCGGGTCCGTACGCGGGTACCACGATTACCGGAAGCTGAGTTTGAGCCCATTAATACCTACTTGGATGGGGGAAATCACCCGAAGATTTTAGATTTCTAGCATTTCAGATTCCCGAGTTATGAACTTACCCAAAAAAAATAGTGGCGGGCCCGCACGCAGGTACCACTCTTACCCGAGAGCTGGGTTTGAGCTCATTAATATCTACTTGGACGGGGAACATCTCTTTAAAATTTCAGCCCCCAAGCATTTCTGGTTCCAGAGTTAGCAACTTACCCGTCTAAAACTTTGGCGGGCTCTTACGCGGGTACTACGCTGGTAAGACCGCCCATTTTGGGGATGGGGGCCCTGATGTACATGTAGATCCAGTTCCCAAAGTTTCAGCCCTGTAGCTTTTGTAGGTCTCGAGATGAAAAATCAATACAGAGGCCCTGCGCACATACAGACACACACACACAGACAACCTCTTGTCAATATGCATTTTCCGCATTGTACAGCTGCAAAAAGCACATGAAAACCAACCGCTCTTGTCAAAGCGCACACTTCCGCTGCGTCCACTCTCACCGTGACTAATATTCGAATTGAAAGAAAGCTCGAAATTTGATTCTACTGTAAGTGTAGTAGAGCTCGGCGGATAAGGCGTATCCTCCTGCAAAAACAACAAAAGGAAGATAGGATTTCGCACAAAAAAACAGAAAGTTTGTTTCTGTGACCGTGGTAAATGCAGATATTTGCACGAGAATCATTAAAAGAATTCCGTGGGAAGGATATTTTAAAAGTACCTGGTAGGCAGGACAGCCGCGCAGAGCTTCGAGCTCAGGCAAAAGATCGGCGAATCGTGGCCGCTCCTCTGGCTCATAAATCCACGCACGCTCAACAATAGCAAAACTGCAAAACAATTCATGAGCAATAAAGAGGAGACAAGATTAGTTGAAAGCTAATGAATGCACCAAGCTTACATTTCATCTGGACAGAACGAAGGCTTCTCTGGCTTCCCGCCACCTTTCACAAAAGACATTACCTGCAAACCACACATTTCAGTAAAACTGCATCATTCAAAGCTATGAAACCGCACGCTCAGCTAGACACGAAGTTTCCAAAAAAATTAACCCAGGAAATAAAAAAATTTGTCAGCATAAATTGTCACTAAATACGGTACCAAAAGACTTTTGTTGATACTGAAGCACTTTAGTAGCGTAAAATGTGCGACATTGGAAAAATCGGAGCGGGGAGGGGGGAGTTGGTATACTGTTCCTGATAAATAATGCTTGTTTGCTGTTCCATCAAGTACTTAAAATTACCACACGCTCTTCGAAAGAGCTGCTGCAGACCGGCTGAACGACTGTTTAGTCCTCACCTGAACGACTATTTAGCGCGTTATTCATTACGTTAGCGCTTTTAAACTTTCAAAGAGCGTATGGTGAAAACGACACCTGCACATTGTTTTTGTTGGGGTAAGGTTGCTGCCCTAACGTTAAAATCTCCCACAGCAATATCCCGAATGACCAAACATCGCTTTTGCACGTAAAAATGCCATCGTTAATTGATTCCGGAGAAAGCCATCGCAGCGGCAGAAAATCGTCGCCATGCACCCGATAATAATCATTAGTATAGACATCACGAGCAAGGCCGAAATCAGCTAAAATGCATTGAATCAGGTAAGCTAGGAGGTTCAAAATTTGCCAAAATGTTCCTAGCCCGCGTGTGACCAAAATAGTTCAAATGCAGCCTTCACATACCTCCAGGACATGTTAAAATTCAAATTTTCCTGGCACCACGCCAGCAGAGATTTAGACGGCTTAGAGAGTTCCTAATAATTGTAATGTTTCACACAAGTTAAGTGAAATTTGACGTAATTTCGCAACCAAAAACCAGATGGAGCGTCGAACCCTTTAAATACGGTTCGCAACTATTTTTGGGCAGTTTCGGGCAGCTCATGTTTCTCTTCACGTACGGACATGTGAAATTTGATCTAACTACGCAGCAAAAGAAGCTAGAGTGTTGAAATTTTCTGAGCAGCCGGGAATGTTTTGGTAGGTACATGCATAAATAACAATCACTTTTCTCATTGCTTACAGCTCTACAACCAAAGCGATTACAGTGCTAAAGTAATTTAGGATTTTTGTGATAAGTGGGACAAGATGGTGGCCATTTGCAATTTGTCTAGCTAAAAATACAGCGCTCCTTAAAGACAAGCAACTGCGGGGAACAGTATGCAAAAACGCACGCTCGCATCGGCAAGGCTGGTGCACTGCAGCCTAGGTTTGTATTGTTGACAGTCAAGCATCAGTCCTCTCGACGCGATATATTTCCCTGCAAGCAGCTTACCAAAATCGAGGACTTCTGAACAGCTTTGGATAATTTTAATAATCACCGGAAGCCCGTTGCTTGTAAAAAAACAGCTTACCAATTTTTGTAATACGTGTATTCGAATTCCTCGATGAGATTAGACAGTTCCTCGCCGCTAGATCCCTATGTACGTGTCGATTAGCTTCCAGGTAAGCAGCTCCACGCCCTACATCCACCATCATACCAATCAGCTCGTACAAAGAAAGTTGTGATGGAAGGCAATCCGACGGACGGCTGAACAATTTTCAACAGAATATAAACGGAAAGAACAAGAACTGAAAACGGATTAGTCAACTGATCAACGAAAACTAAACCCAGGCTGGAACGCACCAGGTTCTCCGGTGCGATCATGCGTTTCTACACTAAACTCGCATCGCTATTAGCAAGAATGATCCCTACGCTGTAGCCTAACACTTGGGCTCATATTGGCCGTGCTTT